GCCATCTTAGCGACTGGAGAGAATGTGTAACTATAATCAAGGCCGAAGATTTGAGTAAAACCTTTTGCAACTAAGCGTGCCTTGAGACAATCAACATGACCATCAGGTCCAACCTTGACAGTAAAGACCCAGCGACAACCAACTATAGACTTCTCTGGAGGAGCAGAAACAAGATCCCAAGTGCAATTGGAATGAAGTGCACTCATCTCTTCAAGCATCGCTTGGCGCCACCCTGGATGGGAAAGTGCTTCACCTGTGGTCTTAAGAGTAGAAACAGAAGAAAGACTAGAAACAAAGGTGAAATGAGGAGTAGAAAGACGGTCATAGCTCAAAAAAGTATAAAGAGGATAAGGGTTACGAGTAGTACGTATACCTTTTCTTTGAGCAATGGGAAGAGCCTCTGGTGAAGGATCCGGAGGGGAAAAATCAACAAGAGGGGGAGATGAGTCAGCCAGAGTCGAGTCGACAGGAGGCACAGTTCTACGCCCTGATAGGTGAGAAGTGGACGGTCCTCAGGTATGGAAGCAATAGATCGCTCATCTGCAATAGAGTTACCTGCAGCTGGCAAAGACAAGTCAAGAAAATGAACAGGAAGAACATGATCAACCTGTGACAATTGAGATGGGTTAGAATTAAAGGGTTGTTGATCAAGAAAAGTGACATCAACGGAAACAAAATACCGCTTAAGATCAGGAGAATAACAACGATAACCCTTTTGAAGATGAGAATAACCAAGAAAAATACACTTAAAGGCTTTGGATGTTAACTTATCCTTACCAGGAGTGAGATCATGAACAAAACAGGTACAACCAAAGACATGTGGGGATAGGGGATATAGAAGAGCATCTAGAAGCAACAAGTTATAAGGAATGTCATTATTAAGAACAAATGAAGGCATGCGGTTGATGAGAAAACAAGAGGCAAGAACCGGATTGGCCCAGAAGTGAAGAGGAACATGCATGTGAATAAGAAGAGTCCGTGCAGTTTCAATGAGATGTCGATTTTTATGTTCGGCTACTCCATTTTGTTGTGGAGTGTGAGGACAAGTAGTTTAGTGTAAAGTATCCTGTGTGGCTAAGAAATTAGAAAAATCATAGAAACATATTCCTTAGCATTATCACTACGTAAGATACGAATAGAAGCACCAAATTGAGTATGAATCTTCGCAGAATTTTTTTGATAAATAGAGAATAACTCAGAACGATTTTTCATTAAATAAATCCAGGTACAATGTGAAAAATCATCAATAAAAGTAATATAATACCGAAACCCTAAAAAAAACACACTACGACTTGGACCCCAAATATCTGAATGAATAATAGAAAAAGGAGCATCAGCTCATTTATTGACTCGATTGGCAAAAGATGAGCGTATGTGCTTTCATTACTGACATGACTGACAATCTAAATTCTGAAGACCGGATAAAAGAGGAACCATATTCTGCAATTCTGAAAGGCTGGGATGACCGAGGCGACTATGGATGAGTTGTCGAGGTTTTGTGAGAGAACAAGCAACTGAAGGACGAGGTACAACTAGGTAGAACAGACCCCGTGACTCATGGCCCACTCCAATCGTCTTCCCCGTACCCGGATCCTGCACAGAAACAGAATTGTTTGAGAAAGTAACAACACAATTAAGAGAGCTGATCAATTTACTCACATAAATTAAGTTATAAGGAATGTTAGGAATGTAATAGACAAATGCCAAGGTCAAGGAGGAGGTTGGACAGATTTGTCCAATCCAATGAACAGGGGCTTTAGTGCCTTCAACAAGAGTAAAATAGGGTAAATTATCAGAATAAGTAAGAGATGAAAAGAGTTCCTTATTACCAGAAAGGTGATCAGTAGCACCTGAGTCAAATATCAAACGACCAAGTGATGCAGAATGAGAAACACAAGCAACGGGATTACCAGTATCTGAAGTAAAGGGCTGAGAATGAGGAGAAGCCTTCCTGAGAAGGATCTGGAGTGCTGCATAGTCTTCAGAGGAGAGAGAGACTGTATCAGTTGAAGCAGTATCCGATTGAGCTATATTAGCAGCATGAGAGGGTCGCAGGTGAGGATACTTTGTGTAGCAACGTTCCTCATAATGACCGAGTTGCTGATAATAATGACAATGAGGTCACTGACCACGACCGCTTGGGCCATGTCCTCCCTGGCCTCTACCACGACCACGACCACCTCCACCTCTACCTCCACCTCCAAAGTTCCCGCGAAAGTCAGTACGGAAAACTAGAGCAGTGGAATCAACAACAGAAGATGATGTCGGAGCAGACGCTGATATGTCATTGATAGATCAGGATCTCCACTTGTCAGGATAGTATCCCGGACATTATCATATTCTTTGGGAAGACCAGAAAGAGTGGCAACCATAAAGAGACGTTCCACCTATTTCTGATATGCAGAAGCATCAGTAGGGTAGGGCAACATATCCAAATATGCCTGCATCAAAGATCGACTTTTGCCAACATATGTCTCCATCTGAGTGTCAGATGATTTGTGCAGATCCATAAACTGAGACATGATGGAATAGAGCTGCTGAACATCATTTGTGTAGAGGTGTTTTGCTTCCTCCCACACTTCATTGCATGTTTGAATAGAATAGAAAATATCCAAGACGATTGGATCAATAGACTGCCAAAGGATACTCAGAAGTTGGTTGTCAATCCTTTCCCAATCGGATTTTTCTTCCTTAGGAATATCAGTGGATTTAGTTGTAAGATGTTGCCCATGTCCCTGTCCAAAGAACCAAACTCTAACAGATGTGGTCCAATTTTTGTAATTAACAGAACCCTTCAGCTTGGAAGAGGTAATGGGCCCAACATTAGTGGAGATGACATTTGAGGAACTTTTGGCAGGACAAGTGGGAGAACTGATCCCCGATTGAGCAGGAGAAGATTCTGCCATTATAAAAAGTCACAAGGGTACAAAACCAAATGAACGGAAACTAACCTGATCGCAAATCAAGAAGAGGCACACACAAAAGTGAGACCCACGAAGAACCAACCACAGATCTGGAAAGAGGAGGAGAGGGCGAGCAGATCTGTCCAGGAATGGCCGGAAAAGGACACCAGAACAATGCACACAGGCCGGTGGAAGGTGGCGCGTGAGCACCACGCGCAGAGGAGACTGACGACGCGTGACGACTGCGGCGGCATTGGGACTTCCACAGAACTGGTCGCCGGGAGGAGAGGGACTTGATCACAGGTGTTCTGGTTCAAAAACTCGCCAGGAAAGTTCTCCGGTGGCCTGAACATTGACGGATGGTGGTTCCAGTGGCGGTCGGAGGTGCTGACGCGTTCGGAAATTATTTTGAAGGAGGTTACAGCCCTAGATGGCTTGCCGGAAGGACGCACAACAAAGAAAAGGGAACTCCTAAGCAGTGGGCTTAGGTTTTAAAGCGAAAACGAGGTTTTAAGCGAAAGCGAGGGTCCCCAGAACAAAAGAGTTGTGATACCAACTTGAATATAAAATAATATGTTGTGTATTAAGCTAATACCAAGAGTTACAATATATAGAGACTCTAATGGGCTTAAGTGAGAAGCCCAGACCTAATACAAAACTAAATAGGAAAAGAATATTTACAGATAGGAAAGTAATCTATACAAATCTAAACCAAATCTATATATATTATATTTTCTATTCTAACAGAGCCCAAATATATTATTTTGTTAATTTTTCATTTGCAAGGGATTATCTTTAACAAGCTTAAAACTTAGTAAGTCTTAGCTTGATTGTGAGTATTGAAAATAGGGTTATCAAGAAGTTCCACATTTTTATGTTAGTCTTATATAATGGTTATATTTGCTCTATATAATAGAGCCTCCACTATCCTATTGTATAATTGATTTAAAACATTTCCTTTCTTTTCCATCTTATTCAACACTATGTATAATTGCTTGCCAGAAATTTCTGCCGATGATAATTCTATCGGAGTATATTCTTCCTTGGTCATGCAACATTTCAACTAGATCTTCGGGTTGATGGTCATTCCAACCATCTTGTTGAATTGTCTTTCTAGTAATGCTTATCTCTCTGACATCTCGACATCCTGGAGTTGCCTTTCCAGCCATATTTTGCGGAGCCGAGAATAATATCATTTGGTTATTTTTCATCTTTAAAGAAGTCATTTGTAACAAGTTTAAAACTTAATAAGCTTTAGCTTGAGGAGATTGTTATGAAAAATATCTCATAATAACATGAATGTATTCTAGAGTATCCTATATGATCTCTTAGTAATAATTTCCTTATTTCTTTATATTTTATGATTTATTTTCCTTATATAATAATGATTTGGAATCTAATATTAGTATAAACAGGAATTAGTACTTTGTAGCTTGTATTGCATCATAACATATCAAGTCACTACAAATTTCATATTATTCATTCTTTATTTTCTCTTTTCTTTCTTTCATGTTTAAATCTCTATAATTTCAATAAGATGCATTACTTAACTTTAGTAAGGGTAAGTCTCCCGGTGCCGGTGTGTCCATTTAGTATGAAAAGTTAGGATCTGTTGTATAACTAGTAAAAGTCCAGCCTAATAATGCTCAATACATACTAAGATGATTTGTCTTTGACACTCCCTCCTTAAACTAGAGAATAGATAAAGTGAAAACTCCCATGCATAAAGGTTCTCGCCTCCCGGACTTTGCTAGGGTAGGGGGAGGGCAGATTGTACACAGTTTTACCTTTGCATTTTTGCAAGGTAGCTGTTTCCCAGATTCGGTCACAAGGAAGCAACCTTACCATTTGCCCCATGGCTTGCTCTCAAACTAGAGCATAGATATTAATCATATATAGTCACATGTTCATTGTTTAATTCAAGTTGTCTAGGTTGTATCCTATCAATTATTGTTTCTCACACTCTCAGTAAAGCACAGGGTAGATATAGCATGTCTCTTTTATGTTTAAATTTTATGCATATTGAGTTCTAGTAACAGTGAACTCTTTTCCCATTTCCTTTCATGGACATCACTTCTTATGCTTGAAAATGATTAGGTAGGAGCTGCTAGATTCCTGGATGTCTTTTCTGCATGTCTAAGCCATAATTCAGTGTTCTCTGGTTTTCTTGGCAAAATCACTTCAAGTCGATCATCAACACTGGGATACCTTCCCTCCATTGCTGAGTTGAAATCTGGATCTAATTTCTTCAGTTATGGCCTTCCTCTTATAAATTCTGTTCAATGCGAAGCCCCTAAGCGCAGCCTTATTGAGGAAAAAAGTATACAAGATCCTGCGAAAACTGCACAAAAGAAGTATGAGCTTCCTCGTATGCCACCTTGGTTTGGTTATGTTGGTAGTACTAAGCTATACCAGCCTCTTGCAAGGATTCTCCGAATTGCAGGTTTATCTTTAGTAGCAGGTGATTTCAAATTCAATGTTCTTTTTCTTGTAGCTCTGAGAGTTTGTCTTTTACCTGTATTAACTCTTGTTACCTTTGTTCGTCATTGCTAGATTGTAGAAATGAAGGGCTTCTGTGCCATGTGACCGAGATCCTACTTGGTTACTTCCGTAAATTGGTTTCGGAGCTCCGTTTAAAAGAATACAACAATGAAAGCTGGCAGTCTTGGTATGACAGGACTGGTTCTGGACAGTTATTGCGGCAAGCAAGTACAACTGCATGCATGCTAAATGAGATGATATTTGGTCTATCAGATCAAGCAGTTAATGATTTTGCTAGAATATTTCATAGGTCTGCTATAAGAAAAGTTCAGGTTCAGTCTTGCAAACTTGAATCTTTCTGGAAGATGCCGAAGGATAAAGGTTTAAGGAGTCATTTAGTTGATTGCATTGGTGGGATCTTACATGAATATTTATCTGCTGAGGTGTGGAATGTTCCAGTTGAGCGCGGAATTGCTGACTTGCAGCATAATGTTGTAGTTGAAGATATTAGTCTATACTTTTTCCAAGATGCCACAATGCTACATGAGGAAAGGCACTATTTCCATAGGCTGACATGACTGTTTATTCTCGGCAATTTGGTGTCTTTTTTTTACTTTTATCTCTAAAGCAGATTGATTTAACCTCAACAATGGCTTCTTTCTTCTGATTACAGGTTATTATTGAGGGAGTAGGAATCTTTAATCTGTGCCTTGGAAGAGATTTTGTTTCAAGTGGATTTCTTCATTCTTCTCTTTATTTATTGCTGGAGAATCTCAGTTACTCAAATTACCAAGTTAGAAATGCTGCAGATTCTGTCTTGCAAATTATTTCCACCACATCTGGCTATCAAACGGTAGTTTGTTATTCATGATACTGATTTATTTCCTAATTTTTTTTGCTTTTATGACTGCTGACTACTATCATACTTTAATTAATAGGTTGGAGAGTTAGTTTTGGAAAATGCAGACTATGTGATTGATTCAATATGTCGACAATTACGTCATTTGGACCTTAATCATCATGTGCCAAATGTGCTAGCATCCATACTTTCCTACATTGGAGTGGCTCACAAGATATTGCCTCTACTGGAGGAACTGGTATGACCATGTCCTCTTAATGTTGTTATAAGGCAACTGGCTTCCTCAATTTTAGGTGTTGTGATAATTCTTCTTTTAATGGCATTTAGTAGGTTTTGATGCATGTGCCAGGTATCTGATATTTTCTCCTTGTTCAAATACCAAAGAAAGGGGGATTACCTTAATAATGCTCAATTTGATTGGGAATTGTCTGTTTATAGTTGCGTTTTTTTGGTCTTTCTCTAAGCTCTATTTGCCTTGGATTATAAATTACTTTGCGTTGTTCCTTGTCTATGTACAAAGTAAAGAATCATGTTCCAACATGCTTAGACTTTATTGGTTAAAATCTTATGGTCTAATGATGTGCAATTGAACAGATGCGCTGTGTGTCAATGGATCTCGAAATACTGGGTAGACATCAACATCCTGATTTAACTATTCCATTCTTAAAGGTCTGTCGCAAGCTACCCCTTTCCTTCTGTGTGTTTGTGTGTGTACACTTTTTCCCCCTTAATCTAAATTGTGTCCTCATTTCCTTATTTTGTAGATTTTATTTAGATACCTACCTCATTCACCACCCCTTCCTCTATGGTTGGTTCGGTCCTTTTTGAAAATCTCTTTTAGGAACTACATTTTACAATTTTAGGGGTATATGCTACATGCCTTGGTTATAGTAGTAAATTTTGAATGTCATTTTATTCGGAATTTACACCGCAGACAACAAGCTTATGAAATCCAAATCATAATAAAGTTTTTTTTTTTGGTGAGTCATAATAAAGTTTTAGAGACTATTGTTGGTTGTGTTCAAATGGCCAGTCACAATGCTGGATACTGGGGAGAAGAAAGTGGATTGGATATGAATAATTTTGTTTTGTTTCTTTCTCTTGTCTGAGGACAAAGCTTCAGTTACTGGAATTGATAGAAAGATTAGGGATTTTGAGAACAAAAATGCTTTAGTTACCAGAATATATAGGGAGATTCAGGCAACCTGTTTCCAAGAATAAGAAGTCGTACACACAATTTTAACCATTGATCCGTTTATATCTAATGACTCACATATCTAATAAATTACAGCTATTAATATAAATAAAATCAACGGTTAAGATCGGGAGTGTAACTTATATTGGTGTAAATAATCCTACCATATATATATATAATGTAGAATTAGAGAGAAATACGGAGTACAAGTGGGTTGGAGGATAAGATATCCTCCTGAACTAGGACTGTAAGAAATATTATAGCAGAAATAACAAGCTTGATATCGAACAAGGAGATCCCCATGTAAGAAAAGCATGGGTAGAGCACTGAAGAGCCATTAAATGTTATTCCATCCTGTCTCAGCTCTAAACCATGTTGAAAGGATTGTTTTTCTAACTACCCCATCAGATGGTCCAATTAGGGTTTAAAAGAGTGAGGATAATAATTATAATTAAATGGTTACATATATGCTTAAAATTATTTTCAATGATTCCAGTCTTGTATCTTGACTGTAGCTAATGCATCCAATGCAGAAAGTGAAGAATTAATTGAATATTTTTATCGAGCCTATTTTAGCATTGGGAAACATAATATTGACTGGAGGTTGCTAGTACTACTTCCCATCATCTTACTTCAACGTCCACTTGGAAACAGCAACTCACCAAAGAGAAGCCACAAACATTATTCCTCCCTGGATCCCTTCACAAGTTTAGGAGGGAAGAGACTCTTAAAGATGCAGGCATTGCTCTCCAGCTAGTTGCACCAAAATTGCATAAACTTCACATCATTGAAAATTTATGTGTCTTTAATTTTAGCAAAACCTTTGCAGAAAATCATTAAAAACTGCTCCGAAGCACAAGGGTACACTCATTGGCCACTTTGGTGACCAAGGATCCCAACAAGGTTGTTCCATAGGAAAGTAGCTGCTTTACAATGCCAGAATCAGTGGCCAACTGTTTCTAAGTTAGATGTGCTCAATAGCACACATACAGAGGAAGAGCAGTGTGAGGCCTATGAAAATGCAACGTTAATAATTTGTAGTCTAAAATAATGATTACAAATTCTTTTCATTCTCCCGTTGTAAGGCTAGGTTATCAGATACCTCTAGTTGGAAAAAAATGCTACTCACCATGTAAGTTCTTGCTTTCCAATTCTGGTGATAGGTATGGACACGGCCAGTTATAGGTCTTCACATAAGAGCAAGTCATGGGGCCCTCATCTGTCATTTTGGTGTTCAAGCTATTTTTTATTGAAAAAGGAGAAAAATTGCAATTGGGTGAGATAAAGTATTCTCAAAAGCTGAGAAAAAAATAAAATAAAAAATTATAGAATCTTTTGGTCTTCCAGTTTATTTTGTTCATCATTTTCAGTTAAAAGTCTTGACATAGTTATTGTCTTCCATCTCATTATGCTGTGGTATGAAATTTCCCTTTTGGGGCTTTCTAGTCTTGGTATTTATTCTTAAGGAATTAGGAAAGCTCTTCCTAGTTGGAGTAGGATTACTTCAAACCAAAATAGGAATTCTTGTTCCAGTAGAATTTAGGTAAATCTGATCTATTGCATATAGATTTTTATGTGCATGCAATTTTGCTTTTGATTCAGATTATTATTATGGAAAAAGTGTGTATCATTTTAAAAGATGTAAAGTTGTGTCATTTTAAGTAAGAGAAAGAGATAGATAAATGAGGAGAGAGAGTGGACACAAAAATATAAAGGTGTGGGTTCCACCTCTTTGTGAGAGTGAAATGACATAACTTGTGTCATTTAAAAGGACAAACACTTTTCCCTATTATTATTGGTGTTTAGTTTTTGTTGAAATTATAGGGTTTAGGTAAAGAAGGAAAAAAAAAAAAAAGACGACTGTAAATAATAGTATGGTGAATATATGTTTGATAAGTGTAATGTCATACAATACCTTAACTCTAGACTCCTATTTATTCTATTATGTCAATTTCTAGCGTTACTAACAGTAAGCATAGGGGGTACGTAAGACAAGCCCACCAACACTAAGACAAATAACCCTATGACAGTTTTTAATCAAGCTATTTCCTCTGTCTCTTTGTATATTCTTCCTCTTCGTCTGGCAATAGAAAAGCCTCTAATACTGTCAATGAAACCAGATTTAGCACAGCTCTTTCAAAATATTTACAACTCAACATATCTACCAAGTTTGTGCTTTAAGAAGTGCTATGGCTATTCCTTTTGTAATTCATTTCCATTTCTTTAGCATGCATCTTTGGATATGTTAAGTATTAAAAAAATGGGTTTGGTGTTTGTCTTTTTAATGGACATAAATGCGTGTCATTTTAAGTGAGAGAAAGACACAAGTAATAGAAATCTATAGGAGAAAGAAAATGAGTATTTTTTTTAATTTAAATTTTAAATAAAAAAAATACTAGTTTGTGTCGTTCTCTCACTTAAAATGACACAAGCATATGTCCTTTATAATGATAAACATTTTTCCCTAAAAAAATATACTTAATTCTAATACCAGTAGGTGTCTGTAAATTGGTTAATTTCAGGCAGTAGCAGAAATTGCAAAGGCATCAAAACGTGAAGCTTGCCTGTTGCCCCCCCAGGCAGAGTCATTTGCCATAGATGTCAGGTCTATAATCTCCAATGCAGAAGAAACAACACAAGGTTCAGAATCACAATCCATTTTTCCAGATTGTTGTTTTTTATAATTTTCTTAGAAACTTGACATTGAATCTTGCATTGTTGACTTGAATACGAAATGCTTCCTTCAATTAGTAGCAGTCTCTAGCAGAGTTCACCTTTGGGTCCCTTCAATTTTTTCTAGTGATCAGCTTCCTTCTCCCATGTTGGCTTCGCAAACCAATGTTGCTTTTAAGATGCATGAGTACACCATGCAGCTCATGACCCCAAAATTATATGCTTCCTGCTTCAAAATGTGACTAAATATTAGTTTGATGTTTGGTTAGGTGCAGTGCAGATTGGATTTTCCTTAGGATGTATATATATTTTAAGATCTGCTTCCCTTGTGGAATTTGGATATTAAAATTTTTATCCCTTGACAATAAGAGAATGCCTTCAATTGGACTCTAGATTTCGGAAGCAAGTTCCATGATCCATCACAAGAATTAGAAGTGGCTGAGACTGTTGTGGAGCCAGCTAAGCTTCTTTTATAAGACCTACATTGCAGCTTCCACACGGAGTCTACAAACATTTGTATTGTTATTAATTTAAAATTTGCATGAGAAAAATTCAAATTTATTGCAATGAAACAAATGTTCTTCTTTAAAATGCTTCATGGATTGTAATTCCAAGCTACTGCCCTAAAATATTGAACCCAAGCTACCACCTCTATGCTCTTCCAGCCGCTCTACTTGGCATTTCATCCCTAAAATTACACAACTAGCAGAAGCGTATTTGGTCTACTGTTTTTATCTGCCTCTACAATTGTTCTCGCAACTTGTCTTCAATACTGCCATAAACAATTATGCCTCCACAAAGTTATGCAACACAAACATGCATGTGCCTCTGGATGAGGTCTCTCCCCAGCACACCATGATGTCTTGTCCCCTCAATTCTTTATCCCCAGAAGATAAAGAGAGGTTTATCCCCTGCTCGCCTCCATCTGAAGAAGTCTGTTTCCCCACAAGTCACCAGCCACCAGTCATCACCTGCTCAAGTTTGTCCTAGTCATTATCATGGTAAGGATCATCGTGTCTTCTTGGAGGTCTTGTGTGCTCTGGTGCACCAAGATGTGTAACACCCCTGCTATGCTCACCATATGGTCATTGCTGTTAACTTTGTCTTGTGAAAAGGAACACAACACTCTAGGTCACCGTCACACCGACAAAACATTCTATGGCTAGGAATGCAATACTTTTGCTATGCCTTTCAAGTTCATTGCTAGAGTCCATCATGTGTCTAGGATTAACAACAACTACATGGTGTCTTGATTCCTTCTCATGCTCACATTTGATCAAATACCACGAAAACTCATTAATGGCCTTGCATAGAGGTTTTGTGTAGATTACAGGGATCTCAACCATATAACAATGACTGATAAATTCCCTATGCCCATGATTGATGAGTTGTTGGATGAGCTAGGGGAGCTGTGATATTTTCTATATTGGATTTGAAATCGGGATACAACCAAATCCTGATGCGGAGGATATTGCGAAAACTGCATTTAGGACACACGAGGGCCATTACAAATATCTCGTAATGCCTTTTGGGCTAAAAAATGCCCCTTCTACCTTTCAATCATTGATGAATAATGATTTCAGACCATTTTTGCGAAGCTTTGTGTTGGTCTTCTTTGATGACATCTTGGTGTATAGCAAAGATGTTAATTCGCATGCTGAGCATTTAGCTTAAGTGCTCGAAGTTTTAAGGCAGAATGAATTAATGGCCAATAGAAAAAAGTGTAGCTTTGGGAAGGAGCTGGAGCATTTGGGACACATTATCAGTAACGAAGGAGTCAAGGAAGACCAAAGCAAGGTGGAAGTGATGAGATTGTGGCCATGACCCAAGAATTTAAAAGGGTTGATATGTTTTTTGGGAATTACCAGATACTATAGAAGATTTGTGAAAGATTATGGGTTGAAAGCAAGACCGTTGACCCAATTGCTCAAGAAGGACAACTTTGGGTAGAATGATCAGGCCGGAAATTCCTTTAAGGAGTTGAAACAGGTAATGATGAGACTGCCAACACTAACTTTACCCAATTTTGATAAGCAGTTTGTGATTGAAACAGACGTGTCCGGTTTAGGCATGGGTGCAGTGTTAATGCAAGATGCTATCCCTATAGCTTTCTTAAATCAAGCCTTTTCTGATCATGCTAGGAACTTGTCGGTATATGAGCGCGAACTTAAAGCCATTGTGTTTGTTGTGCACTGTTGCTCTACTATGTACAGCAACATGTAAAGAACCTTGGGATACACCACCCCAAAAGCTAGCTCAAAGGGTGGGAGTGCCCAAGACCTTATAAACTCCACATTAGTTGCACATATAACCAATGTGGGACTATATATCTCAACACGCCCCCCTCACACGAGAGCCCATTGGGCTTGAAGAGTGGACAGTGCAACAGGCCCAGCCTACCTGTGCTAAGAAACGCCACAAGAGAAAGTGGGGGGCGGCGAGGCTTTGATACCATGTAAAGAACCTTGGGATACACCACCTCAAAAGCTAGCTCAAAGGGTGGGAGTGCCCAAGACCTTATAAACTCCACATTAGTTGCACATACAACCAATGTGAGACTTCTATACTATGTACAGCAACACTCCCCCTCAAGCTGGAGCATATAGATCGTATGCACCAAGCTTGTTACATATCTGGTCTATCCTAGGTCCTCTCAAAGACTTAGTAAATACATCAGCTAATTGATCATTTGAGTTGACAAAACGAGTGACTATATCTCCTGAGAGAACCTTTTCCCTAAGGAAATGACAATCTATCTCAATGTGCTTAGTCCTTTCATGAAACACTGGATTTGAAGCAATATGCAAAGCAACTTGATTATCACAAATGAGAGATGTTGGGCCAGTGTCTCCAAACTTGAGTTCCTTCAGTAGCTGTTTTAACCAGATGAGTTCGCAGGTAGCTATGGCCATGGAGCGATATTCTGCTTCAGCACTTGATCTAGCAACTACACTTTGCTTCTTACTTCTCCAGGAAATCAAGTTATCTCCAACGAATACACAATACCCAGAAGTGGATCTTCTATCAATATGAGAACTTACCCAATCAGCATCTGAGTATCCTACAACTCTGGTATGACCTTTGTTTTCATAGAGAAGACCTTTGCCAGGAGCAGTCTTGATGTACTTGAGGATACGGATTACTGCATTCCAGTGATCTTCACAGGGAGAATTCAAGAACTGACTTACTACACTGACTGCAAAAGAAATGTCTGGTCGAGTAACTGTGAGATAGTTCAGTTTCCCAACCAATCTTCTATACCTTTCTGGATCAGAAAATAGCTCCCCCTGATTTGGTAAAAGCTTGACATTTGGATCCATAGGAGTATCAACGGGCTTAGCATTTAACAATGCTGTTTTCTCAAGAATATCCATAGCATATTTTCTCTGTGATAGTACAATGCCATCTTTGGATTGGGCCACTTCTATCCCTAAGAAATATCGGAGTCTTCCAAGGTCCTTTGTTTCAAAATGATGGCACAAATGTTGTTTTATCTGAGTTATGCCATGAGTATCATTACCTGTAATGACGATATCATCAACATATACTACCAAATAAATAGAACCTGAATCAGAATGTCTGTAAAAGACTGAGTGATCAGCCTTACTTCGAGTCAATTGAATCTGAAATATATTGTATATTCAAGTATATGAGTCTGTACAAGGAGGCTCTCTATTTATAGAGACTAAAAGACCTAATGGGATGACCTAATGGGCCAAGCCCACAATCTAGACTATTCTAGACTATTCTAATAATAAATTAATATTATTTCTAACACTCCTCCTCAAGCTGGTGCGTATATATCAAAAGCTCCCAGCTTGTTACAAATATGATCTATTCGGGGACCTCTAAGAGCTTTAGTGAATACATCTGCAAGTTGATCATTGGAATTGACAAATGCTGTCTCGATCTCCCTTGACTGGATCTTTTCTCTAACAAAATGACAGTCAATTTCTATATGCTTGGTCCTCTCATGAAAGACTGGGTTAGAGGATATATGCAAAACGGCTTGGTTGTCACAAATGAGCTTCATAGGCCTTTGTTCACAGAGATGGAGTTCCTTCAGCAATTGACTCAGCCAGATGAGCTCACAGGTTGCATTTGCCATTGCCCGGTATTCTGCTTCCGCACTGGATCTTGCGACCACAGTTTGCTTCTTACTCTTCCAAGAGATCAAATTTCCTCCGAAGAGAACACAATACCCTGAGGTGGATCGTCTATCTGAAGGAGAACCTGCCCAGTCAGCATCTGAATAACTAGAGATCTCTGAACTCCCTTTATTTGTATATAATAAACCTCTTCCTGGCGCCTTTTTAATATATCGGAGAATTCTAATAACTGCATCCCAATGGGAGTCACAAGGAGAATCAAGAAATTGACTTGCAACACTCACTGCGAAGGAGATATCTGGCCTTGTCACAGTAAGATAATTCAATTTTCCAACTAGTCGGCGGTAGCGACTAGGATCTGGCAGTGGCTCCCCGTCTTGGTAATAACTTAACATTGGGGTCCATAGGTGTATCAATGGGTTTACAACCTAACATGCCAGTCTCATCTAGGATATCCAGTGCATACTTCCTCTGACAGATGGAAATGCCCCGCCTAGACTGTGCAACTTCGATCCCCAAGAAATATCGAAGTCTGCCAAGATCTTTGGTCTGAAATTGATTGAATAAATGCTTTTTCAACTTATCAATCCCGGTCTGATCCCTGCTTGTAATGATAATGTCATCAACATAGACCAGGAGATAAACGCACTGGCCAGAAGAGTTATGCCGGTAAAAGACAGAATGATCGGCTTTGCTTCTGATTAATCCAAAGGATTCAACAACTGAACTAAAGCGGCTAAACCAGGTCCGAGGAGATTGCTTCAGGCCATATAAAGATTTCCGAACTTTACATATCATTCCAGAACTCTCCCCCTGAGCAACAAAACCTGGTGGTTGCTCCATATAAACTTCCTCCTGCAAGTCACCATGTAGAAAAGCATTCTTAATATCAAGTTGGAGAAGGGGCCAGTGATGAATGGCGGCAAGGGCAAGAAACAGGCGAACAGAAGCCATCTTAGCAACAGGAGAAAAGGTATCCCCATAATCAAGACCAAAGATCTGTGTGTATCCCTTGGCCACTAAGCGAGCTTTAAGGCGATCAACAGTGCCATCAGGACCAACTTTAACTGTGAACACCCATCGACAACCAACAACAGACTTCCCGGGAGGAGCACGAACAAGATCCCAAGTGCCATTGGAGTGAAGTGCCTGCATTTCATCAAGCATCGCCTGGCGCCACCCTGGATGAGATAGTGCTTCACCTGTGGTTTTAGGGATGGAAACAGAAGAGATACTAGAAACAAAAGTAAAATGTTGTGAAGAAAGTTTGTCATAACTCAAGAAAGAATAAAGGGGATGAGGATTTCGAGTGGATCGAATACCTTTCCGAAGGGCAATGGGAGGAGTCTCTGATGGAGGATCCGGAGGAGAAGAGCCGATGGGAAGGGGCGATGAGTCATCAAGAGGCAAAGTCGGAGGAGGTGCAGGCTGACGACGCTGGTATGTGAGGAGAGGACGATCTGCAGGTATGGAGGTAATTGGTTGCTCCTCTGGAATAGGGTCACCTGCAGCTGGTAAAGACAAATCAAGAAAAGGAACAGGAAGGACCTGATCAACTTGGGACACTGGAGACGAAGTAGAGTGAAAATGCTGCTGATCAAGGAAAGTGACATCAGCAGAAACGATATAACGCTTGAGATCAGGAGAATAGCAACGATACCCTTTTTGAAAACGTGTATACCCAAGGAAAATACATTTGAAGGCCTTGGATGTCAACTTGTCTTTACCTGGAGTAAGATCATGAACAAAACAAGTACAGCCAAAAATATGTAAAGACAGAGGATAAGAAGGTGCTCCGGAAAACAAAATACTGTGGGGAACATCATTATTTAGCACAGAAGAGGGCATGCGGTTGATAAGGAAACATGAGGTGATAATAGCATCTGCCCAAAAACGGAGTGGGACGTTCATATGAATGAGAAGGGTACGTGCAGTTTCAACTAGATGTCTATTTTTACGTTCAGCGACTCCATTTTGTTGTGGAGTGTGGGGACAGGTAGTCTGGTGTATCGTCCCTTGTGTATCCAGAAATTTAGAAAATTCAAGAGACACATACTCTTTTGCATTATCACTGCGCAAGATTTGAATAGAAGCACCAAATTGAGTTTTTATTTCTGCACAAAACTTTTGATAAATTGAAAATAACTCAGAACGATTTTTCATTAAATAAACCCAAGTGCAACGGGAGAAATCATCAATAAAGGTGACAAAATACTGAAAACCCAAAACAGACGTTGTTCGACTCGGACCCCAAATATCAGAATGAACAATAGAAAAAGGAGCATCAGCTCTTTTATTGACTCTATTAGCAAAGGAGGAGCGAGTGTGTTTTCCTTGCTGACAAGAATGACAGTTTAAAGACTTAAGATTGGATAAAAAGGGAACCATATGCTGAAGCTTGGAGAGGTTTGGATGACCCAGACGGCTGTGAATTAGCTCAGGAGACTCTGTGAGAGAACAGGCTACTGGAGAAGGTGGTGCAATCAGATAGTAGAGACCTCGTGACTCAACGCCTGCTCCAATCGTCTTCCCCGTACCCGAATCCTGCATAGAAAAGGATTGTTTAGAGAAGGTAATAGTACATGAAAGAGAATGAATCAACTGGCTAACAGAGATTAAATTAAAAGGAATGCCAGGTATATAATAAACAGAACTCAAAGTTAAAAGGGGAGTTGGGTTGGCTTCCCCAATTCCACGAGCAGGAGCCTTAGTGCCATCAGCAAGAGTGACAGGGGGTAGGTTATTAGAATAAGAAAGTGAAGTGAAGAGATCTTTATTACCACAAAGATGATGAGTAGCACCTGAGTCTATTATCCAGGGTCCAAGAGATGATTGATAAAAACAAGCAACATGATTACCAGTGTCTTGAGTAGGATGCTGAGAAGAAACCTTCTTGAGAAGTGCCTCATAGTCGGCACTTGAAAGAGTTACTAATCCAGTTGAAGGTGGCGTAACATCAGTTTGAGCAAATTTGGCAGACGGTGGCTTCAAATGTTTACTTCCTATAGCAGCGTTCTTCAAAATGCCCAAGATTCTGGCAATAATTGCAACGAGGCCTCTGTCTGCGGCCACGTCTGCGACCGCGTCCACTGTTCCAATTGGAATCACTGGCCCGAGAAAAGAATGGAGATGGGGTAGTACCGGAGATGATGCCAGTCGTGTTTTTGGACGCATTATTTGAGCCCTCCATCACAAAATAAAAGGAGATGACCAGAAAATAGCAAAGAACTACAAGAAAGCAAGAAATCGCGCAAAAACGTTGCACAAAAGTGTCCAAACAACGGGTTTTTCACTGATATCTTTCAAACGGATGGGACCCACAACGAACGGAGACCAGATCTGGAAAGAGGGTGAGGAGGCGAGCAAGATGGTGGTGGTCCGGCCTGGAACGGTGGCCGGACGGTGGCTCACGCGCCGGAACAGTGGTTCGGCCGCCGGAGACTTCCACCGGCGCGTGGCGGCGCGTGGATGCTCCGATCAACACGCGGCTTGGACAGACAGGGTCGCCTCCCTGAGCCGCTCCTGATCGCGTGGTGGTTGGTCGGAAAAGTCGCCGGAAAAGCAGTCTGACGGCGGTGAACAGTGGCGGACGGTGGTTTTGTGGCGGTTTCCGGCGATGAACGGAGGCTGACGATCTTTTTCCTGATGATACGAGGTTGAGGACAAGAAATTTGTGACTAAATAAGGGTTAGGTGTGAAAGGATGGTTGCCGGTATGATGCACGGCAGTAAAAAGAAAGGAAAAGATATATATGCGGAAGCAGAGCCCTCAGATCGAGAGCTCTGATACCAAATTGAATCTGAAATATATTGTATATTCAAGTGTGTAAGTCTGTACAAGAAGACTCTCTATTTATAGAGACTAAAAGACCTAATGGGATGACCTAATGGGCCAAGCCCACAATCTAGACTATTCTAGACTATTCTAATAATAATAAATTAATATTATTTCTAACAAAAACCATCACAAAAGTCATTAACAATGCACAGAACAAACCAGCCGTTTGAAGGATCTGTTGTATGAAGTTTTCCTTGAATTCTCGAGATCTGGTTTGGCACGATCCAGAGTCTACAAAACAAACGTAGGCTTCATTACAAGTTATGCTATGGAAGTCAACAAATCTTTTAAGAACAAATGACCTCTAATGCATTTATCTCAGAAAAATTGCAATTAATCAGAAACGTAGACATGGTTTATCATGAGCCAATGCACCAGAATAAGTTCACTTTTACCATACAAATTCTTCAACGGATTTAAAATAACTTTTGTGGGATTTTAGCTGGGTTCTAGGCTGCCAATAATATCTACCTAACTAAGCGCATTCCTTTGCAACAACCAAAAGCCAATGTTATGACAAAAAAAAACATCCCAATAAAGCATATAGCTGACTATTAAAGTAAAATCCATTATTACTAATCAAGTATATTCAGCTGCTATGTCAACCTATTAGTATGAGATACTACAAAAGATTTACTGCAAAAAGAAAAAATATGCAAGATTACCTGAATCAAGGACTCCACTCGACGCCGCATCCGCGTATGCATAAATCCTTCTGAACACTGACAAATACGCATAATATAGATTGGGATCAGACATCCCTTTTTTTCTTATTACATGGGATCAAACATCTTTTATGCAGGTTTATTGTAAAACATAAATTCTACCATTGAACAGCCAAATATATACCGGTATTAGCAGAAACTTCCAACTCCTTTAACTAATTTAATCCCCCACTTTCGTAATACTTCTCCTTCCATCTGTTCTATATACAAAAACTTACTTTTAAGTTTAAATCTATATTCATAAATGCCATATCACCATATCCTCTCTCCACCACCTTCTCCCAGTGCCCCTCTTTTTGTTTTTACTAATAGTAATGATACTTCAAATCAGTTAAATTATCTGTAAAATGATTTATGAACCTTTTTTGTAAAACAAAAAAATATTTTTTTGGTTTCATTCAAGGTTGTTTTAAATGCTGTATATCTAAACATTTTATACAGTAAAAAAATTCATTTTTACTTTTTCCATTTCCTATCATTCTACCCTAAGCACAACACAGATTGAGTCCTTGGCTAGCATCTATAGAGTTAACCTCTTTAAATAGAGGACTTTTGTACAGTACATTCATACATTATAATTTGTAAAGAACCTTGGGATACACCACCCCAAAAGCTAGCTCAAAGGGTGGGAGTGTCCAAGGCTTTATAAACTCCACATTAGTTGCTCATACAACCAATGTGGGACTATATATCTCAACACGCCCCCTCACACACGAGCCCATTGGGCTTGAAGAGTGGACAATGCAACAGGCCCAGCCTACCTGTGCTAAGAAACTCCACAAGAGAAAGTGGGGGACGGCGAGGCTTTGATACCATGTAAAGAACCTTGGGATACACCACCCCAAAAGCTAGCTCAAAGGGTAGGAGTGCCCAAGGTCTTATAAACTCCACATTAGTTGCACATACAACCAATGTGGGACTATATATCTCAACAATATTCAAAATATCAAAAAAATAGAATATCCAACTCTTCGACGCTATCTATCTCGGCTGATGTTTTTTACTTTGAATCAAATCCCTACTTTCGGTCCTTTTCTTTCACCCCTGAGTCGATCTCAACTACCTTACCTTTTCCTCCTGTCTCGGTTGAGTTCACGCGACCACTACAGTTTACTCCTCTATAAATGACAAGGTTTCAGTATGTCCCTTACAAGACTATCATTGTCGACCGTGCCCACCTCCGCCACCTGAGATTGCACCTACTCCTATTGCTACTGAGGTTCCTGCTGACTCTATTCCAGCACCTTCTCCGCCTCCAGCTCTAGCCTTGCCTCTTAACAGTGACCTACTAATTGTTCTCCACAATGGTACTTGTACTTCTCATAATCCTTCACCTCATTATCTTAATTCGAGTGACAATTGTCTATCACCTTCACATTTTGCTTGTGTGGTAACTATTCCAAAGACTATAGGGAATGCTTTATCCCATTTAGGATAATGGTAGGCTATGATTGATTAAATGTGTGCATTTCAGAGCCGTGACACTAAGGGCATTGTTCCCCTACTGCTAGCAGAGTCTGTTATTGGTTGCTAGTGGATATTCACTGTTAAGGTTGGCCTTGATAGATAGGTCGATTGTCTCAAAGTGTAACATCTCGGACGCCAACAAGGGTGGGGGGTCGATATTCCTTTGGCACATGGGTTGAGCTGTACCACCAGCCCGGATAAAGCCCAGTGTCTGGAGTCCAGCCCGCTAAGGTGGGAGTGGTTGTGACAGTAACAAAAAGGCTCCTTACAGACTTCCAGCGGGAAGAGTACATGAATGAATCGAATCAACACCTGAACTAGAGGAATCCAGAGGCTATGCAGGTATAGGACTATACAGTTAAAGATAGCTTAAAGGAATTAATATGTACTACATATACTAACAAGATGCATCTATTTTTCGATGGCCCATAACTTAAGAACTGCATAGTTAAGCGTGCTTGACTTGGAGCAATTTTGGGATGGGTGAACTCTTGAAAAGTTTCTCAGAAAGTGTGAGTGAGGACAAAGCACGCTGAAAAGTCTAGTGTTGGTTTGTGGGGACAATCATTTGATCCTGCAAGCGGCCAGGCATTACACAAAGCTTGATTGGTGACAAAATGGTATACACATGTGGTGAAAATAGCATTTGTTCGCCTCTTTTTTACTATGGCTACTATTCTTCATTGGACATTTTATCAATTAGATACAAAATATTCTTTCCTCCAAGGTGATCTGTCCGAAGAAGTCATACGGAGCATCCTTAGGGAGAGTCTTATGTCCTAGTTTGTCTCCAGTACATGTCTTTTTATGGACAATCTCCAAAAGCTTGATTGGAACGCTTAGCGCTGTTGTTCAACAGTTTGATTTGACTCAAAATGAGGCTGACAACTTAGTTTTGTATCGCCATTAAGCTACAGAATGCATTTATTTGGTGGTGTTTGTAGATGACATAGTCTGATACAATTCCACCTAAGTTCTTGGCTTACTGTAGGAAGCGTTTCAGAGAATTACACTCTATATGCAAGGTAAACAATATGGTTAATGCTGACCTGTCCACTGCTGAGTCACCATCAAGTGAAGAGAAGGCACTGAATGCTGAATCACTACCAGGGGAAGGGAGCGGAACCAAAAAACGGTTGGAAGAAAGAGAATACGAAGAGGAGAAGGAAAGGAGGCATCTTTGGACAAATGGAAATTATGGGCTTTTGGGAGAGATCAGGGGCTCTCCAACTCCTCTGAATTTATCCTTTATTTTTTGTTATTACTCAATTGGTGAATGTTAAATTGTTTCTAAACATTAGTTTGTCTTTGAAGATTGTTTATATTCTGAGAATAGCAATTTGCTTTTGAAATTTACGTTCCGTGTAGCTACATTTCACAATACACAGAATTGAAATACAGATTCCCATTTACAGTTTACATACTCTTCTTGGAATTTAAATTTTACAAGTGTTACAATTGGTATCAACGCTCTTTTATGGGAGCGCTGAATGGTTCTTACTAGGACTATGGATAACCAAGTAAAAGCAATGGAGGCAAGAATAGGTAGGACAGAGGAAGGAGTCCATCGAGTTGAAGCTGGGCTAGCAGAGGTGCTCAGATCTCTTCGAGAACTTAGAGATGAACGACGTTCACCAAGTCGTTCAAGCAGAAGTCGAGACGGACGAGGGAGGAGAGAATCTCCAGAATCCATTGACGGAGAAAATTATGGAATGCGTAGAGGAGAGAATCTTGGGAGGAGGCTGGAACTTCCAACATTTTCTGGGGATAATGTATATGACTGGCTGAATCGAGTTAATAGGTACTTTGAGGTGAATCGTTTGAATGATAGGGAGAAACTTAGGGCGGTGACGGTTGTTTTGGAAGAAGAAGCCCTCCATTGGTACCAATGGTGGGAGAGGAACACCATGCAAGCTACCTGGGGGTCTTTCCATACAGAGGTGCTGAGCAGGTTCCAACCAAATTTGGAGGGGAATCCTTTACACGAATTGCTGAGCCTACGTCAATCAAGGACAGTTTAAGAGTATCGAAGAGATTTTCAGAGAATTACTGGGACCTTGGAGCACGTTGACGACGAAATTCTTCGTGGAATCTGGTTGAGTGGGCTGTCAAACTGCATACACGAGGAACTTCTGATGCAACCCTTAGATTCGTTATGGTGTAACAGCTTGTTACGTACCGGTATTGTTAACATTGATTATGATATTAAGCGCAGTTATAATCACAGCAGTTCATTTATTGTTTTAAATGCTCGCGTAATGGCAATGAAAATTTTTCCTTTTCATTACGCGAGCATTTAAAACAATAAATGAACTGCTGTGATTGTAACTGCGCTTAATATCATAATCAATGTTAACAATACCGGTACGTAACGGGCTGTTACAGTCAGTGCTGATGAGGAAGGCACAAAGAATTGAGAAAAGGAATTGGGCATGGGCTGGCCAAATTGGGAGGGTTTTCGAAGGGGGCCCAAACTCCTACGGCCTGTTCACCCAATATCAGAACCACTAGGTTTTATGGGCCAGCAAAACGTGGGCCAAATTAACTCAAGAACCGGGTTTGCTCATAATAACTCCAACCAACCCACTCCAACGCAGGAAGCTTCGCGAATGAAGACAGCTCATAACCCTAGCTCTGTAATCCCAGCCACACATCAGCCACCCGAGAGTCAAGGCAGCACCAACAATTGCAACGGCAACCGTCGTTTACCTCAGGCAGAGCTGCAAGAGAGGTCACACAAGGGTTTGTGTTTTCATTGTGAAGAGAGATGGAATCCTAGCCATCGGTGTGCGGCGAAGCACCTGAATATTCTGGCGGTAAACGACGAAGGAAAGGAAGAAGACATGCAAGGAAACGAAACTGGTGGGGAGGTCGCGGTCCAAGGCGAGGAGATGTTGCAGCTATCTTTGCACAATTTGATGAGGCTGACAACGAGAAAAACAATGCGTCTGTTTGGAGAAATAAAGGGAAAGCGGGTCATAGTTCTGATTAACAGTGGCGCGTCCCATAATTTCATCAAGACGGATTTGGTTGAAGGGTTTCAGCTAGAGACAGTAGCTACACCAACGTACAAAGTCGAAATAGGAAGCGGAGAGCGACTAAAGTGCAGCGGGGTTTGTCGAAGGGTTAAAATAGAGATACAAGGAGTTGCGATTATACAGGATCTGTTCGTTTTCAATTTAGGTGGGCTAGATGTAGTTCTGGGAGTGTATTGGCTGAAGGATCTTGGTAACGTGAAGGCCAACTTTCGTGAACTAATTTTTAGCTTTAGGCATGAAGGGAGGGAGGTGAAATTTAGAGCTGAACCTGAGTTGTCCAGGAGCATAGCATCTCTCAAATCTACAGTGAAGGCAATTAAGGGGGAAGGAGAAGGGTATTTCTTGCAACCAAAGATTGAGAGCGGCCACAAGAATAAGGGGCAAATGGACTAGGCTGAGTTGAACTTGATATTGGAAGAGTACGCTGATGTCTTCGCCACTCCAACGGGACTGCCACCTAAAAGCAGTCGCGATCATGCTATTGTTCTTAAA